AAAAAAAAAAAAAAAACACATCTTAGTAAAACCAATACCTTCTCAGCTTCGCATCGAAGCTAAAATCACATTAAGCATATAATTTTTTTTTATATAATGAAGTTTATGATGTCAACTAAAAATAAAAATCTTAATAATTAGACAACATAATTATGAATTCATAATAAATTACATGAGCAAATTTTTATAAATTAAGGTTTTCTCTAACATTTAGAAGTATTTCTAAGTCCCTTAATTATTTGTTCAAATTCAAATATTGCTATACTAACTTTGCAAGGAGTTAAAGCAATTTTAAGATGTAGTTTATCACTATAATATGCTTCAAATTCTGAATAAAACTTGCTAACATGATCAGTTTCTCCAATGTCTTCGGAATCAGCAGTTAATTCAGATTTAAGTTTTTGAATAAATTTATATTCTTCAACAGCTGTTTATAAAAATTACGTCAAATATATTATAAAAATTATATAACGTTTAATACATACACTTTATAAACAACAATTATATATAATGTATATTATTGAAATTGGAACATAATATTGCCATGAAATTTTTATTTATTAAATTTGTAACAACAAAATAAAACAAATATAGCAATTACAATAACAATTATTTAATATGATATCTAATTATTTTTAGATATTATTAAACTTCAGTTTCCTTAAAAAACCTTTGAATTAATTAAAAAATTATTAACAATTTTAATGAAGTAATAAATAATTTTATAAACTATAAATTTTAGTGAATAAATGATACAATTGTCAAAAATTAATGAAATTATCATTTTATTTAGAATCATTGATACATTGAGTTATTCGGTTATTTAGTAATTTTTTTATGTAATAAATTTAAATTACACCAGTTTAAGAATTAATAATTTGAGAAGTACTATTATTTTATCAAAAGTAACTAGTATACTTACATAATATATTTTGATCAGACTTTAAATGTAAGCCACAGCTAAGAAGTACATGTTTTAAATAAGAGAATGAATTATTTTCAAATAAAGGTTCAAAAAAATCAGATTTAGCTGGACTACTTTCAATAGTTTTGCGTTTTTTTTCTAACGGTAATTCAGGCAATTCATCTAAAAATGATGGTGACGGTGGAGAATTATCTGTTGAATAATGTCTAGAAATTGTAGAAGCCGTCGGTAGTTCTATTGATGAAGTTGAACTAGTACTTGGTTTTTGAGTTGATGTAGATACATTTCCTAATAGGGGTTTGGTTTTAGGAAATTTTCTCTTGTACATGTTTATTTATAATAATCGGAAAAAAAGAATTAATTAACACGCATTGATGTTTACGCTTCAAAATTTTCATATAAATTTTTTTATTTTTATTACGTATTTAACATTTAATAGATAAATAATTAAAAATAATAACAACATAAATAGCACTAAAATTGCATTATATTATTTTAATCAAGTTGTATTGTATACTTAAATTAAATTTTTATTATTTGTTCAATTGGCGGGAAGTATCATAAAGAATATGATAACATATTTTGAGTTATCTTATTAATTCAGAACCATATACCACATATTTTATTTAGACCATTATTGTCAACTATGGCATGATGCCATTGATACGACTAGTCATTACAACGAATTTATTGCTACGAACTGCTACAATCCTGTTTCAGTCTTATCGTATACAATTACTTTGATCGAAAAAATTTAAATTGTCAATGATTCAAATTTTATTTTTAAATAACTGTCTGGGGTCACAATTACTCTAACGATACAACTATTACCATGATAAGTCATTGTATCGAACAAAAATTATTACAATTATCCTAATTGTAATAATTTATTTCTCTATTCATTTGAAAATATATATTTAATTGCATCAAATAATTATTTTTTAATGTAGCACGAGTGGGTACAACTCGTAATGATCTAAACTTTCTCATAAATAGACTTTTGCCTGTTGGAGTCAAAACTATATTAAAACCAGGCGAACTAAGATAAAACTGACTAGACAGTTGTACATGTATTTTTCTGATTTATCTACTACATTTTTAAAATTTTGTATTTTAAAAACATGTTCGTCGCTTAAGCTCACTGCTCACCGAATATTCCCTCTTCTGCGGAATTTTGATAACAAAACCATGTCTTACTCCCGGTTCTGGAGTGCGACATATTCGGAACATGTCATGTTCAATCCTATTTTGTTTAGTTCGCAATTAAAATCACAAATGTAAAAATTAAATATTCAAAATAAAAAACAAAAAATGCATATTCAATTTGATAAAATTGAAAATTTAAAAAAGAAAATTATTGTTAAACAAAAATTTTTTTTTTTGTAAAATTCACTAATATCATAAATTGAATCATGGTCTTAGAAGATCTTAGATTTTATATGTGTCGAATACGACTTTCGTTAAGGTGGCAGTTGTTTAAATGAGAATTCATTAGGAAGCAAAAAATAATAAGATATTGAAATTCAGAAAAAATAGCAAGGAAATTGTTGATCGTGGATCTTATACAGTAAGCTTACATCTTAGGTCTTATATAGCTTGTTAAAAAAGCAGTGCTGAGAAAATCCTTAATAATCGGATTCGTTTTGATACCCCGTTCGCTTACAAAAGTAGGAACTCGTTCCAGATCCAGTTCTCTAAAGAAAAACTCGTCTCCCTTTTCGTTCCCACTTCGTTAAACAAATATTTAAAAAACTTATCGTTATTATTTTAATTATATTTTAAAATTAAAATATATGTCATATTTTTATTGTTCTGTGTATAGGCGGAATTTGAACAAAATGTTTAGGATTCTAATTTAATTTCTCATTTTCTTAAAAATTATTTTATCAAATTAATGCCATATTCTTAACTTTTTTTTTTTGACGGAAAAGGGGGCGTTAGCGATAGAATTAGAGAGATTAAGTCCTCTCTAGACTCCCCAAATGCGTCTATAATCCCATGTTTTTAAGATATTACGCTTTTTGTGTAATGATTATTTTTTAATCATTGAAAACTTTATTATCATAGGTAGTATATTAAATTATACAACGTTGATAATCTACTGGACACAATACAAATATATAATTAGGGTCGTCAGATTTCAATGCAAAAAATATTGTCAATAGTCAACGTAAGAGTACAATTTTTTTTATAATATCTAAAAACAAAGAAGAAAAATTAGAAACACTAAAATTTAAAAGAACTGTAAATTTTGTTCATGTTCTAAAAATGAACTTATCCTCTCATTCGTTGTTCCTTAATTTTTATAGGGATCAGTTCAAACTCCTAGGATTCTAGCTTTGTTTCTACAAAAAGAACTCGTTACAGGTTTTTTTTTTGAAACGATATTATTCCAAACACTGAGTGTAAGGAATGTTTGTATTATACATAAAGTGAATTTTTATCATAACCCACAATGTATGTAACGTATGTAATAATGTACTTATTTAACGCCAAAACAATCATACATTTAAAATTAAATTAATTATAGAAATATAAATTTCCTCAATAAAAATGTATATTTTAAATAGACTGTACGATCTTTTAAGTTGGTGATACAGACTTAACAACCACGGTAATTCAATTCGTTGATATAAGTCTTAAGTTTTGTGAACGCTGCTACCAAGATTAGGATATTTAACTATTATTTTAGGTTATGTACAAACTTGTAATATTCTTCATATATTGTTGACAAGTTTTTATTCTGAAATCGGTTACTGGATTTGAGTTAATAATAACACATAAACCCTAAAATTTCGAAAATTTAATCTTAGTAATAATTACTATCGTATTAATATGAGCTCCAAAGAAGTAACTACAGCCCCTGAAAAAAAGAAAAAAGAAAGTATATTAGATTTAACTAGGTATGTACTAATTTTTTATTCTATTTATGCTTTAGAATGATTTATTTAAATAACAAAAAATTATAGTATTTTATAATTTTCTAGGTATTTAGAAAAAGCAATAAGGGTTAAATTTTCAGGTGGTCGAGAAGTATCTGGAATTTTGAAAGGTTTCGACCCATTAGTAAATTTAGTGTTGGACAATACTCTTGAATATTTACGTGATCCTGATGAACCAATGAAACTCACTGAAGATACGAGAACTTTAGGATTAGTTGTTTGCCGAGGAACATCAATTGTCTTGATTTGTCCAGTTGATGGTATGGAAGCTATTGCAAACCCATTTGTTCAACAAGAATAAGACTTAACACTGTAACTTTCAAACTCAAATTAATGTTTTGACTAAAAAACTAATGAAGGTTTTAGCTTTATGTAAGACTTAAAATGGTGAATAATATCATTTACTATAATTCATTATAGTTTAATATTAATTTGTTTCCACCTAGTTATATTTGTATGTAATGTTATTCTTGTACATACAAGCTATTATCAAGTATATTTATTACTTCTAAGAACACTTATTTTTAATTAAATGAAAATAATAATTTAAAATTAAGTTATTTGTTGGTAGTTTACTATTATCCTATTGATTCAATACATTTATAATCATTACTTCTACTTAAAATATAATTTTTTATTTAAAATTGATTCATATAGATTATTATAATTGATATAACAATTGTAAATTTCAAAGAAAAAAAAGTAATTAGTTAAATCATCACTCTAGGCTCTGTGCCAACTATTTGAGATCGTCTGTCATGATTTGACAGATTTTTATACTGACTGTCAAACCTAACACAATTATCATGGCTAATGGAACCAGTATGGAAACATGGTACGTGTCACTGTTAAAATTCCTGTATGGTCACCCATCTAGGAAATAGTGCGGCAAAACATCAGCACTAAATGATTTATTGCTCCACATTATGTTTTTAACTAATTTAATAATCTAAATTATATCAATAACTTCTATTTGTTTTAAAGTTGTTAATAATAAGTTTAAAATGACAATAATAGTTTACTTTAATTTTCATATTATTTATAGACAAAATCGTTTAATTAAAAATAAGTCACAATTATTTAAGTCAGTAGTACAAGGTATTAGTTAGGTCTACTTATGTTAAGTAATCTCAACCCTAATGGTCAATATGTATCTCTAATTTAATTGCAGTCAAAAAATTAACTTTTATAAAGAACAACAAGAAAATATTTTATACCCTTCATATTATTTACCAAAGATATAAAAAATAATTCTAAGAACGAAAAAGTCATTGAAATAGCTATTTTCATACAAAATTGAATAATCTCCATATAATACAATAATTTTTACATCGAAAATTAAGGTGACTTTGCTATAACAAAAATAATTATTAAGATTATAATATGCAGTTAATTTACAATAATTTTAATAAAATCCATATTAAAAAATTATATTTTTACTACAGCAAAATTTACAAAAGCAAACACTGAAAGAACTTATGTTAGCTAAACATTTAGTGTTGAAATTTACATGCTCATACATATAATTGAAAATATGTGCGCATTTAAAATAAAACTCTAGTATTGACTTTATAGAGTTTTCATATCAACTGTTAACTTTTATTTACATTAAATGTACATGTTTTAAAATGCATATTTGCAATTAAATAAAATTTGTAACAATTCTATAATATATTAATTATTAACAAATATGAAATAAATTTAATAAACTTAGTATATAATAAATACATATATTCATTAATAATAAAATATATGTTTAACATATATCTAAAATAACATTAATACGCAATATATTATAAGAACATAAAATTATAAAAATACATAAAATAAATTAGGAAACAATTACATACGTCTCCAACGGTCTTTGTTATCTCTACGGTCATTTGACTTTTTATATTTTTTCTTTTTGGGTTCATCTTTTGAATTGCTTCCAACCCAATATCCAGATTTTTTTTTATTTTTATTAAGTGGATAAGGTGGCGGTGGAGGTGGTGGTGGTGGCGGAGGATGTTGGTACATATTATTATATGGATAGGTAGGTGGATTATAATTAAAGTTACTTTGGTCTGGTCCAATTGGTGGAGGTGGAGGTTGTTGTGATCTATACTGAGTTGGGTATGTGTACCCCGGAGGGGGATAAGGATAAGGCATTGGAGCAATATAGTTCATTTGTATATATGGCGTATTATAGTTAGGAGGTGGTAAACTAGTATCTGGATTACAAGGAGATGGATATTCATCTTCAAGACCCGGAGGTGGTGGTTCAGCAGCAGATGTTACAGCAGATCGTTGTCGAGGATCCCTACATTTTTTTTCTACATCTAAAGAAGTTTTAGATAATTCTATATCAGTAGATTGTGATTCCTTCGAGCTAATAGAAGAAAGTATGTCTTTAATGTTGCTTGGCAACTGAATGTCTGTAGTTAAAGGAGTTAACTCACTAGTTGGACTATACACTTCTTCATCAGGATCCAACACCTGCAACATTTTAGAAATTATGCTAAAAAATTATGTATAGAATGATTGACTATGTCTTGATCAGTATCTTCAAAAAATACAAAATAATTTATAATTTTTTCTTTTCAAAATGCTTATAAAACCTTACATACTACTAATTGAAGAAAACAATTAGTTATACCTTCTATTTTTACTCCCTCAACAGACATCCATTTTAGATTTTTATGTGATAACATATGTATTTATATGACTCATATTATAAAAATCATCTAATTTAGAAAATGACTGGTCAATAACAAATTTTGAACCAGTATTTTTGAAAATAATATTGCAGGTGAATATGAAGGTGAGTAAAATTATTTTGTATTCTGTGCTACTGTACTACTCCTCCCATTTAGATATAAAAGTAATAATATCTAGTAATATTCCTTAATTAAATTATTTTCCAATATTAGAACTAGTTAATTAAAAAAAATAATAAATAAAGCATATAAAAATCTGTAAGTTTTTGAAAAGATAAATTAGTCAATTTTATTCTTATATTTTTGAACGTATGCATGAGGCATAGTTTATTCATCACTTTGTATATATATAAATATAGTCATACATCAACAGTTGTAACTGTGCTTTGAGATCCAGCAGTCATCATCTGAATCATCATTTTTTCTTTTTCAATTTTTCTTGTTAATTCTTCCATTTGTTGTTGAATATTTGTTGTAGCACCTATTTCTTCAGATATATTGGGCAAGTCTTCATCAACAGGTGAATAGGGTTCTTCTTCTCCAGGTATATATGGCAAATCATCATCCGTCAGTGCTATAAAAATTTTACTATTAAATTAAGTTAATTATAAAATGTTTTATATAATTTTTTTTAAATAAAACATTTTAATAAAACAATTAAAAAAAAAACTATAATTTTATAATTATATGTTTTATAAAGTACTTAAAGTTAATTTAAGAGTTAAAATTTTTCATTTTTCAAACTCAAATATTATCTAATTTATACCAAAAATGTTACTAACTAGTTGTAAGAGGCAAAACTGGTGTTGGCAAACTTAGAATTTTATTTGTTGGCGATCTAGGAGGAGTATAACTTTCTTTAGGTGAATAACTGTCTTGAGTTATAGGTAATCCAGGTTTTAAATGAGGTAAACCTATGGTTTCATCAATATTAGTTAAAGTATAACTATCTTCAGGTGGTGGTTTCCACACTTGAGACCAAGGTCTTTTAGAGTTTCGTACAACTATACCAAGTAGTAAATGTGTTCGGTAATCATCAACACCAGGTCCATCCAATGGTAATAACACTTGAGGTATAGGGCTATGACTTCCAAGAGGATAAATATAAAAATCTTTAATGTCTGGAAAAGGTTTATTGTCAATAACAGCAATACGATTTTTAGCACTTAAATACTGATATAGACTTAAGTATGACATTTGCTGCTCAATTCCACTAGCTGATAACTTAGTAACTACAATATCTTTTGTTCCAGTTTTCTTTAATTTGCTCATATACTCCCATACTGTTTGTTGTTTAATCCGGCCAACACATTGCAGTACACTCAATGTCAGTTCAGATTCTAACCCAGTTATATTACCAGATAAACGTGTCATAGTAACATTGCATCTAGCTACATCTGTGAAATTAATAGTTCCCTTCCAAATAGGACTTGCTTCTTCTTCTATTCGAGGTGGTGTAGCAATAACTACAGTTGAACTTGGTTCCCTATCACTTATATTGTCTTCTTTTTGAATTTCTACTTCAATAGGAGGTTGATCAGGTTTATTTTCAGTAATTTTTACTTTTTCAATTTTTTTATCTTTACTTCTATCTCTACTTCTATGTCTCTTATCTTTATGAGATTTATGCCTATTTTTGCTTGATTTGTGATGTCTACGGTCATGATCTCTGCTATGGCTTCTCTCTTTATATTTACTTTTTTTCTTATCTTTCCTATCTTCTTTGGGTAACTTAAATAGAATCGGAGGTTTTTTCTCTTCAATTTTTATATCTGGATTGAGTTCAGGTACAATTGTTTCACACGTTTTATCTTTAGATTCAATTATTTCTTCTCCTTTATGAGTTTTCATAACTAGAGCTTTAGATTGATTCATCAAATCCAATTCAGTTTTTCTAATCATCTCAATCTGATGTTTATTTTCTCTTTCTCTCCATTCTGCTAACTCTTGAGAGGCCATCTCATCAGCTGTCATGCGTACCAATTGGTAAGGAGTAACCCACTGAAACATAATTTTTTTAAAGAAATTTAAATTTTTGGGATCTTTTATATTGAAAACCAAGCTTCTGTATTTAGTTTTATACTTTTGGTCCACTTTACCAAATTGATTATACAGTTCTTCTTCAATATTTGTTATTAATTTATCTAAATTTTCTTCAGCTGTTTTTAATTCAGGCTCTTCAGATATTCTACTACTTAAGGACTCAAGCAAAGATTTTTTTACATTACTACGTAATTGGGATTCATCTCTTTTATCCATGGAAATTTCTTTAACAGGTTCCGGTTTTTTTTTAATAGTTTTTTGAACTGGGAGAGGCTTTGATTGAATTTGGGTACTAGGTTTAAATGATAACGAAGTTTGAATAGATTTGGGCATATCTTTTTGTGGAATAACTGGTTTAGATTCTTTCTGAACCATCGATAATTTTTGACTATCTTTTTTTACAAACACTAACTTTACTTTATCAGGCTGTAAAAGATCTTGTACATCTGATAACTCTTTTTTAAAATCTTTTGTTTTCACTTTATCTGGGCTAGGAACTGATTTTTTTGGACGGTTTTCAATTTCTTTTTTAATAAATTTTAGAGTAGATTGAGTTAACTTTTGAGAACTAGAAGTTGTTTGAATTGGAGATTTTTTTGATTTTGCTGGCCCAGATGGTTTTAAAATTTGAAAGGTAGGGTTTTCAACCATCCATTGTTTTAAGTTTGTTATCTTAGGAGCTTGTTCACCTAAAAAAAAAAAAGTATTATTGAAAATACATAACCTATTTTACATACATAAATTAAAATTAATTTTCAATTAAAAATTATCAATATTCATAGAATTTTTATCCAAAATTGTTATTAACCTACCTTACAATTATTAATAAGAATTCTGAAAAAATAGCGACTAATTATTTTTTATAATGCATGAATCTTGATTTTTAAGATTTTACAAAAGGAAACATAATTTTTTATTCAATTTAAAACTATTCAATCATTACAAAAAACTAGAAAATTAATCTTATATTTTTTTTTAAAGATATTAATTTCAAAGTCAAATTTATAATAAATATTATCTCCAAATTAGAATCTATAAATAGATAGTACTAATTGAAAATATATTTTTACAAAACATTTGCAATTTTTCATAAAGTTAATTTTTGAACATAATGTGAAGTATTTAGTTTGGTTTGAGATTACACAGCATAGAACACAAAAATTTAATTAAAAATAAAAATTTTGACTAAAATATTATATTTGTTGCTTTGAGTAAGAGTTGCAGTAATATCCGTTTAAAAAGTTATATGTAAATTGGTGGTTAGAGAGCCTAATTTTTTATAAATGTCAGTAAATACATTTTTCAGAAAATCTAAAATTATCAAAATATGATTTTGAAAAAAAAAATGTTATTTTATTTTTGTACAGAGCCCTTCAGTTAGTCTGCTAATTAACAACATATTTTTTTGATTTACTTATTTTTTTACTGTTATATAAATGTAAGTGTTTATTGTGCACAAAAATGAACATATAATAAATATGAAGAGAACTTAGAAAATAATTGTTGGTAAATAATGTTTTAATGCATCACTGGCGTTAAAAGACTAAAAAATAGCTATTAAGAAGTTTTAAAAATTTGCTTTTAAAATATTCTAAAAAGCATTTCTTTAATACAATAGTGAGTATGTAGTGCCGGCAGAGTATGCATTAGAAATATGCACTAGTACTAGTTATACCACCTGTATTTATGGCCACTCAATATATTAAAATGTTTATAACTCAATAAATAATCATTCTAAAGTGGTATTTAACCCATCAAAAATTTTTTGGTAAGAAGTGCTAAAATTAGCTCTTTTGAAATTTCAAGAAAATTAAAAAATATGTTTTTAACATAGTTCAAAATTAAAGATATTTTGAAAAAAAAAATAAGGCAAAATATTAGCTGTATTAAGTTATAAAAGATATCAAAATTTGATGGGACATTCTGTAAATATATATAATTAATGATTAATAACATACCAGTTATCAATCTACTGTTTTTCTTGTCAAATAAAATAATGTCTGGAGATTCTGATGTATTACATGCTTTTATAGCCGTTACACTTTCATGAATATGTTTATCCAAACAATTATCATCACAAAAGATACTAGTAGTTTTTTCAATATCTTTAGAACAGGAAACACATTTTTGTTTTGAAGTAGAGTTTATTTTAGGTCCTTCTATTTTTTTAACAGGACTTTTTAAATGAACTTTCTTTTTTCTTTCTTCTTCCATTTTAATTTTAGAATCTTCTGATTTTTTACGAGCTTCATCAGTTTTCTTTTTTCTACAAGGAGGACAATTCCATTCTACTCCTCGAGCTTCCATTTGTTCACCTAGAGCTTTTGTCACACCAACACATTTACCATGAAACCAATCTTCACAAGTGTCGCAACAAATCATAAATCTAAAATAAAAAAATTAAAATAAAAACTTATTAAGTCATCAAATACTTTTATTTGTTTACACTAAATTTAATAGTACTTTATTATTCAATATAAGTATCCAAAAAATAACAAATTATTTGATTAAAATTGTACCTGTTATTATGTGGTTTCCGGCAAACACACCAGAGTCTATTCGGATCATCTTCAGAAGTCATATTACCATCCCTGTCAGTATCAGATTCTTCACTATAATCTGTAAAACTTTTTGAACTAACCAAAAAAATATTAACATTAAAACAATGTCATACAATTCAATAAATAAATAACAAATACAAAAATCATTTACGTTTCTGAAATTTTTCTTTGTCTTTCATCTTCTTTTTTAATAGCTTCAACATGCTGTAAAACATAGATAATATAAAAAGAGATGATTGAAAAAATAACTATGATAAGAAAACTAATGTTTCTTACTTCTTTTTTAACTAATGATCGTGTTTTTGGAGTTTCAACAGGTGGTAAAGTAATTAATCTGCCGGATTTTCCATAAAACACAGTTACACTTTTAGATTTATCATTTGATGATGTTATTGAACGACCACTATCATTCAAGCTTTCATCTGATAAAAGACTATTCATCAAATCATGGCTTGAATTGGAAGGAGCAACAAAATTTGACTAAAACATATTTTTATATAATAAATATCTTAAGAAATAACACTAAATATAAGATTTTGTAATTTAAATCTTACAGAGTTGAGGTCTTCATTAAGATCAGCTAACTCATCAATTAAGTTTTCTTCATCAATTATTTCAGTTTGACATGCAATTTTAGAGCTTATGTCATTCAATATATCCTCAACTGTTTTTGTTACAGAACTCTCAAGAGATTGTACTTTTTCTTTTACTGGACTATCCTTAAGCTTATTAGAAATTTTCCTCACTCTTTTTTCTTCTATCACTAAAATTGAATCTAAGTTAGAGTTCATATTTTCAATAACTGCTTGATTTTGTTCTTTTTTTAGAGAATTTCTTTTTTTTGAATTTTTCTCTATATCATCATTATTGTGTAATTTATTATCATCAGCTTGAATTATGTCTGGCACAGAAAATAACTCTGGTACATCCGATAGTTTTGACACACACTTTTGCGTACTTGATAAAATTAAGTCAGATGAATTATCATTACTTTCAAGTTTTTCTTTATTTTTTTTGAACATTAATTGATTTTGAATATATTTCTTTGGTTCAATACTAGATTGACGAACTAACTCATTAGCCTGTAACATAATTTGATCTACAACTATATTTTGTTGTTTCTTTTGCCGAGTTCCTTTATTTGATGTAATTGGTCGTATAGAGTTGGATTTCTAAAAATAAAAATTTATTCATTAAATAGGAATAAAGAAAAATAAATAGTTGAGAAGAACAAAACTTTTCCTAAGTTTATAAAAATAGCAAATATTTTGCATTCCCCCCCCCCAAATATTTATGGTTAGATAATATATACTTATGTAAGTAGTATGAGGGAATACACCTCATAATAGTAACTTAAGCTTATCATGTACTATAGTTAGTATATCTCCGTCAAGAAGAAGATTTGATAAAATTTCAAAAAACAAATTTTCAACTATTTTAATCATAAACATAACTATTTTGTATAGAATAATGTACGAAATAAAAATTCTTCTTCCATAGATAGCATTAGCATTTTTTTTTAGCTCACACATGTAAAACAAAATATACTATTATTACAATATTTTTCTTTATTTTTCAAATTTGACAATCAAGTCAAATATCGTGTAGAATGAAGGATTTTAATTGTTCCAGTTATTTTCTTTTGTTGATTAAAATAGTTACCTACCATGGGTAAAATTCGTTTTATAGTCTTATTAAGAACAGAAGAATCATTTGATTGATCAACATTTTCAGCTTTCTTTCTTGTCATAACTTGTCTTGATTTGATAACATCTATATTTTTTAATTTTTCATCCTATTAAATCATTGAAAAATATTAAAATATTAATTTTTAATAATAAATATATATACACATACTTTTTGGTTAAAACTTAGTCAAAATTATAAATAAATTACTAAGTCTATGTAATATCGTGTTGGCCTAATCCACAAATAATAATGCATCTCCATTATTTTTAATTTTAAGAATATTTGTCTATAAAATTATGAAATAAAACTATGTTTCTTAATAAAATAAAATATTTTACTTTTTCATTTAATTCTCTTTGAAATTGAAAATAAAAAAATTGTTGTAAAAGCTATGTATCATAAAACCTTGAAAGTTTTTTTTTATTTCCTATTAAATTTACCATTTTGAACATACATCCATTGCAAATTAGGGTGATAATATACAGCCTAATAAAATATACAATGATCAGTAAGTAAGGAAACAGGTCAGTTATTATAAACAATGAGAATAGAATTTTTTTTCCTTACTTACTTAATACCCTATAGAAAAAAATTGATATCATAAAAGAACATAACAATATTTTCATCTTAATTATGTAATTATGATTCAAAAAATTAAAAAAA